GTCTGGAACCAGCTTCCAAGTGAGGTGGTGCAGGCTCCCACCCTGGGGGTTTTTAAGAGGAGGTTGGATGACCACCTTATTGGGGTCATTTGACCCCAGTGCTCTTCCTGCCATGGCAGGGGGTCGGACTAGATGATCTGCTCAGGTCCCTTCCAACCCTAGAAACTATGAAACTATGTCCTTGGACCCGACTGTCTCCAGGGAAGCTCCAGAAAAGCTAAGAATCTCTGGGCTCAGTAAGCAGTACTTAAATGTTTAATGCAGAGAAATCATGCAAGGCAGTTCACATTAACAAGATTGTCTATTCTCATTACTGTGTGAGAGAATGGGGAGGGGGATCTGTGTGCCTTCATATGCCTGGTTAAAAGGTATCCTCTGGTTTACACCACTTTCCTCCTGCTGTAGCTCCAGTCAGCTCCACTTCTGCTTGCATATCACAGCACCGTATGTATCAGATCAGGACTTGCAACTCTTCCTCTGTTTAATCACCCTTCCAAGTAAGGCCTCCCTTGCCCTTGTGCTCTGCAGCTTTGCTGCAGGAACAGCCCATGTTTTCCCACTTTCTTTTGACAAAAATCTCAGACCATTGAGGCTTTGGAGATCTGTTTACTCTGAAAGAGTAAAAGGAGCCTGTAGCCTGATGATTTATGGGCAAGGATTGCTTTGTTAGTCACCTTGGGAACCAGAGGCAGACTTCCAGGTTTGATAGCAGCATAGCTGTATGCTCAGCTGGCCCAGAGTTAACCCATTCTGGTGAGCAAAAGGATTGGTAGCTCAGGCCTATCCCAGGACTGGACTCGGGTTTCAAACTGCCTTCATAATAAGGCTTGGAAGTCAAAAGGTCTTGCACCTCTTGAAGCATCCGCTAAAGTAGAGAAATGTAAGCAATTTGTGGTGGAGGGGAATTTGTGGCAAATGTACAGGTTCCCTTAGATTGTCTGTTGGCCTTGTGCTGTGTAGAGTCACTGATTTACATCCGACTTTTTAGAAATAAAAATCTTGTCAGTTGGGAATGTGTATTGCTTCTTGCTGGCAAGTGTCTAAACAGCCACCTCCATGTAAAGGATAGGAATCTGGGTACCAATGTCTCTTACCACTTATTTGTGTCCATTGTAATATCTCTGTGCATGTTTAAAACAAATTTGCCTCGCCCAGATCAGAACCACCCATCTTCTTCACCCACTGACCAAATAAATGCCACCCTGACTACAAGGATGAATTTACAGGAAAACTGGGATGCACCCACACTCCTTATGACTTACATGCTAAAACTTCCAAACTCCAATTAGAAAGGGAAGCAGTTCTACTACTGAGGGCCTTCCAATGAGGATATGCCACCACAGATGCCAAGGAATTCAAACCTGGGACCAGACATTTAGATATTACTGGGATGGAGGACATGGATATTGATGCTATGTAGAGTATGTGGGCAGGTTGCAGATGCCTTTGTGTGAGGAGAGGCTGTATTTCATGAAGCTGTAAAGGAATGATGCTTTCGCTGCTCACTGGCTGCACGCAGTGAGTGCCTTAAATGAAAAGCACAGCAATGGGTAATACAATGCCTCACTTTGGTGGTTTTCTCTTTTATATTGTATCTAGTCTAGTTAAGGCTTTTTGTGTTTTGTTTGGGGTTTTTTGTAAAAGGGAGATGGAATCGTTGCATTTCTGTAATACCTAAAGTAATTTTGTCTTCAACTTCTCTAGCTTGTAGCAAACAAAATGTCTGCATTCAGTTTCTTTAGGCGCGAAATGTCAGAATTGCTCTAGTGTTGAATAGATCATTTTCTGGAAATACGGCAGTGTTACCCTACATCAGGGTTTTTTTTTTTACCTTTTTTTGTATAGATGAGAAGTGACTGAGAGTTTTGAAATAATTCCACAAGCGTGAATGGTACAGAAGTTCAGTTGTTTCAGGTTGGCATTGTATATCCTAAAATTAAGAGTCAAAAGGTTTCTAGCAGGTGGAGTATACACAGCTGGGAGGAGAATTTCTTAGTGGATGTGATACCATACCATGCACTTCAGCAGTGATGTCTCATCTCGAGAATACTGGAGGGTTGAGCCTGCCCATTTTGCTAAAACAAATCTATTGTCATTAGAACCATATGGTCCTTGGGCTTTGTATTCTCATTTAACTATATGCTCAATGTCCAATAGAATAAGTGATTCTGCAGCTGTGCAAATGACCTCCTAATTTGTCTCTGCAGTGTTGCTATGCAAGTCCCTGGTGCTACATAAATCAACCACAGAAACATGCTGGAAAGCTTCCTACTTAGTGACTAGGCTTTTGATATTCTTATGCTACTACAGTGGTGACTGGCAAGTTCTTTTAATGCTTTCTAAAAAATAAATCTGTTTAAATATTTGCTCTTTTCAAACCATATGCTACAAATAATAAAATGCAGTTGTCAGTACAAGTAGCTAGTTGTCTTGAAAAGGGTAAATATTATGATTTTAACTTCTTTACTTACTAAAATATAAAGGAAACGTACATTGTTCACCCTAACCAGTAGTAGCAACCGCTTTAAAAGGGATTATTGGTAGCCTCAGTAATGTTAAGTGGTATGAAAATACACACACACACTTACTGTGTATAATATATTTTAATGTCTGGTGCAGGTATTCTGAAAACGGAGAAGAGATGCCTTGCCCTCCACGCCTACTATAACACAGACCTCATTCTGTTATTGTTCTAATCATTACAGGTGCTTGCCTCAAGTGTAATAGAGCAGAAACATGGAGTGAAGAACATTTTTGTGCATAGCATTTCTTCTTGAATGATGGAAATGAAGAAATGGAGCTCAGTTTAGTGTAGCAGCAACTTTAATGACGCTTTATGTAGGCACCAGATTTAATCTGGGTAGTTGACTGTCCTGGATGAGGCAGAAAGGGGAAACTTCAGCTGTTCAGGAGCATTGTATGTGCACAGTTGTCAGTGAACTCCCAACAGTGGTACACAGCTATAATGTTGAGGGTGTCAAACACAAGCATAAGAGGAAAGATTTGCAGTAGGTGAATACCTGGCTACTGGAGTAAATGGCTGCTTTAGAGTAAGGGAAGATGGACACATGCTTGTAGATGGTCTATGAAACAAACCGTTCTGCTGGTGTAAAGTAAAAAAAATGAGATTTACACAGGTCACAACAACTGTCCTGTTTACAAAGGACATTAGTACATTCCTATTAGCAATTTGTAAGACATCTTGCAATTATCTCTACACCTTAGAGACTGTAGTTCTTCATTAATGTGTTAATAGGGCTGGCAGACAGTAAAGGTCGCAACAAATTGTGTGCCAACTGTGTAAAGGTGGCAGCCTTTTGAATAAGAATGGGAAGGCACATGTTAAAGCTTGTAGTCTTTGTGCCACACCCCTGTTGCAGAGACAGAATTGACATTGTCAGCGCCAATGGGAGCTTTCCAGCAATGCAGGAAAGTGATTTGAGAATTAACATTACTAGCTAAAAAGTCTCACTGCCTACTGCTAAGCAAGCAGCAAAACCAGAAAGCCAACAAGCTACCAAATTTAAGTTCAATGTTGGGTCATCTTCGTAAAAAGCCCTGGGAGTTCTGGCTGAAGAACGCTTGAAGATGCATGTTGGCAACACTGGGCCCTCAGAGCTCTCTGTTCTGCCTGCAGCAGGGGCTACGGTGGCCTTTTTGGCAGCAGGAGGCTTTGCCATGGTAGTGGCAGCATGGCAGGGTGGGAGTGGTGACTTGCAGGTTCATTAGTGCAGGCTCAACAGTGTTGCCAGTCCATGCTCTGCGAGTTAAGTAAACCCTAAACCAACGTTGTCCTTATGGGCCTTGATGTTGAGCCATTTACTGAATCTCATTCTTCTATTCTGTCAAAAAAAAGTCACCAGGAAGTCCTGGAAAACTGAGTTTCCTCTGGGGACAGGAAATGTTTCTGCAGGAAATCTGAACCAGGTTTGAGATGATTAAAAGTGAAGAGGGCTTGCCATAAACATGGGCCTTTGGTACTTACAGGGTTTAACTAAGCTGAGTTTTCCTAGTTTTAGAGGTCAGTATTGGCAGAAAGCACCTGACAGCCTTGGAGAAGGAAACTCCCATATCCAATGAACAGCTACAGGCCAGGCATGGTGAGCATCTCTTGCTGCTGCAAGTGAGCCTCAAACCAGACTGAGAGAGGATGTCCTTCCAGGGGGAAGAGCAGTTCAGCTTTAAGATTTATTCAGTCTTTGAGGTCTTGGCTTTGACAGTTCAGAGGGTGCCACTTGTGGGTTTCTTGCATGTTTATACTGTCCAGTGAAATATACTCTTGCTTTCTCTTCGGTCCAGGAGGAAGAGGATGACAATGTAGGCACAGAAATGAAGATCCTGAGAGGACACTGTGGACCAGTGTATAGCACAAGGTTCCTGTCAGACAGTTCAGGACTCTTATCTTGTTCTGAAGATATGTCTATCAGATACTGGGACCTTGGAAGCTTTACAAACACTGTGTTGTACCAAGGGCATGCCTACCCTGTCTGGGATTTGGATATCAGCCCTTGCAGCCTGTACTTTGCCAGCGGTTCCCACGATCGCACAGCGAGACTCTGGTCATTTGATCGGACGTACCCACTGCGCATATATGCAGGCCACTTGGCAGATGTGGACTGTGTCAAGTTCCACCCCAATTCCAACTACTTTGCAACAGGCTCCACAGACAAAACTGTGAGGCTCTGGAGTACTCAGCAAGGGAGCTCTGTGCGCCTCTTCACAGGTCACCGCGGCCCTGTGCTAGCACTCGCATTTTCTCCCAATGGTAAGTACCTGGCTTCAGCGGGTGAAGACCAGCGGTTAAAGCTGTGGGACTTGGCCTCTGGCACGCTTTACAAAGAATTGAGGGGGCACACGGACAACATAACCAGCCTTACCTTCAGCCCCGACAGTAGTTTGATTGCCTCTGCATCCATGGATAATTCTGTTCGGGTATGGGACATCCGGAACACTTACTGCAACACCCCAGCAGATGGTTCTTCGAGTGAACTGGTTGGTGTATATAGTGGACAAATGAATAATGTACTGAGTGTACAGTTTATGGCCTGTAACCTTCTTCTAGTGACTGGAATTGCACAAGAAAATCAGGAACATTAATTTTTTTTTTATGGAGGCGGGTGGGCATATTGAATGCCAGAGTCCATTACGAATCGAGAAGAAATTACTGACTGTGAAACGCTTTTCTTTCCCTCTTCCATTGGCAGGCAGGTTCGGGATGGTGCAAATACTTTAGAATGCTTTGCCCACAGAATAACCTATGCTATTGAATAGTGAGGAAAGGAGGAATTGCAGAACATTGTATTTTAGTCATTAATTGACTGAGCAATGAGAGAGCGAGGGCAGGGGGAATGCTATCGTTAAGTAATTTGGGAAAACCAAAAATCTGGCCCAGAAAAATAAAATTGCCAAGTGGGTAAACTGCTGTGACCTGCACTTAAATATCTTGGCACTGGCCCAACTGGTAGCTAAGGTTTTGCGCGTGTGTAGAAGTACTGGCCTGGTTCTGTTTTGTTCTGTTTTGTGTTCCGTTTTATTTTTCTTCTTCCCCCTCCCTGGAATTTAAGAGCCTTATGTTAAAATAAAATGATTACTTTTATAATAATGGTCCCAAACACAACAGCTCTCAGTAGCACTGCTGCAGTGTTTAGGGCTGATAAAGTAGAAGGTATAGGTAGAAGGTGTAGCCTTTTTTTATTTTTATTTTTTTTATTTTAGGGAATGGAAATCTGACCTCAGTTGTGGCCTAACTTTGCGCATAGTCTTTTGGGTCTGATTCCTGACATTCGTTGTATTATTTGTATTTATGGTCCAGGGATTTTGGATTTTCCAAATCTAGTTGCACTGTGGTTTTAGGGTGAGGACAATGGGGAAGGATGAGTGTAGCTTCCCTTGGCTGATGGAGAAGATGAGTGGAGAAGATGGAGCGGCCTAAATTTGGACTCCTAATAGGAATGGAGCCTGGCAGCCCAGCACTGCACCTCACTGAAAATCCTTCCAAAAATGGAAGCTTGCAGTCTGAGGGGTGGGAGTGAAATGGCTAATAGTATTACTAAATTATTGCGCGTGCACAGCGGCAGCTTTGCCAATATTGGATTTTTCTCAAAATGTTGCAATATCAGTTACATGAACATTTTTGCAGAACAAATCGTAAACATCTAAAACCAGGAGATGAAAGAGAAAATTCTAATTTGTCATTTCAGGAGAAGATTAAATATTTCTGCTTTCTGGAAAGAGTTATTTTGTATTTTGTTTTTCTATTAAAAGCATTTAGTTTAAACAAAGTGTTGGTCCCTTTGTGGGGAATTTAGGGTTGCCTTGGCTTGTGTGGGAAAGTGGGAGAAGCTTTGCCTGTTCAGCTACGACTTAATGCACTTTGCGATATGGAGACATGTTGAGCTTTGCTGATGTGGGGCTTGGGAATTCATTCTTGGCCACATTTCTTGGTGTTATCCAGGTGCCCATACATGCGAGATTGACCTGGATAGCAGATAATACAGTTATAAGGATCTGTGGCTAAAGGAAGTCAGGTTGCAGATTTCCCACACTTGACGCTACCACTTTTGTCCCAACAGTTCTGGTCCTACACACAGTATCATTTTCAGTTCAAATTGCCTGAAATTTTAATTTGTTTTAATGTATCATAATCTTTTTGTTGTTGTTGTTTTAAGAGGACAGCAAGAAAAGAGCATAGCCAAAATGTCTTTAGAGAAAATACTGTTAATATGAAATGCTAATGTTCTTAGACTTCTCCCATAAATTTTGGTCCTTTGATGAGGACACCCCTGGGAACTCTTAATCAGTCTTAGAACTGAATAAATTACTTACATGGCTGGTAACAGAATTCTTTCTCTTTCTAAATAGATGCATATGAAATAGATGTGTATACACGCACACTATATATAGGTACACACAAAGTAGATGTTCATGCCCACAACACACACTCCATATATAAATATCTTATTCAGTTAGTCTATAAGGTGTGTATCTATCCTGCCTTCTGCCAACAGAAAAATACATCTTTCTTCTTTGTCACCACGTCAGGCTGGTGGGAACCAAAAGTTGTTACAATCTAGAAGATATTTAATGATCTGTGTGAAATTAGTTGTTAGGTTTGAGTGCTGTACCTAAGAGCTGGAGTTGTACCATCCTCTGCACTGGGAGCTAGCAATCCTGTAGCTGGCACGCACCAAACTGTGAATTAACAAGGAGGTTAGCTGAACTCTGATCCCAGAGGTAATCTCTTCGAGTTGTGGTAGAGGAATGCTAAAGCCAGTATGGGAGAAAGCTGTGATGTTACTATCTGTGTTACATTTGTAGTCTGGAAAGGTCCCCTAAGGCTGGGGTCTGATGCTGTTCACCAGCAACACATCCTCTTGTGTTCTTGTCTCTGCTGGGTGTCAGAGCAGTGGTTCTTAACTGTTGGGTCATGGAGATGCCATCAGGAGGGGATCAAAGAATTAACACTTGTCCTGTCCCCCCCGTCCCTAAAGCGTTTCTGAGGTGCCAAGCATCCTACCGCTGAGCTGACATACTCCCAAACAGGAAGCAGCACAGGAATCTTTGTGTGGCTGTGCCAGAGCAAATGAATTCAGCTTTAGACAGAATGGGGCCTGGTGTGGATGAACTAGTAGCTTTCAACCTTTTTAGGCTCGAGGGACCCCCAGGAAATGCCAGCTCCTAGTTTTCACTCATGTTTTGACTACAGAAAATAATAGAACAATCTTTCTTTTGCAAAGAACTTGGGAAGAATGCTTTCAGTGCTGTGGATTCCTGTTTGACATCTCTGGGTTTATCTTGTGAATGGTGTTTGCACACCTAACAGTGCTAACATTGTGTGGCAACCCATGGCATCCTTGACAGGATCTTAAGGCAACCCAGGGTGCCTTATCACCATAGTTGAGAATCACTGAGATAAACATGAAACTTAATGCCAGATTATGCAGCCCAAGTCTCTACCAACCCTTTAATCTCAGATCACTATACAAGTATGGTGGGCTGCAATGTCAGAGATTGAGACACTGCTGTAGAACATAATTCTTGGATCAATAATGTTACACTGCAACTAGCAAGTGCTGTTATAACAACACCAAGCAAATGACACAAAAGATGGGCTCAGCAGCTGTGTACTTGCCTAGTATGGTATATAGCATTACCCTACCTAACATGGTATAACCTGCAGCTGGTATTCTTGGGAAAAACTAGTTCAGAATGTTCACATATCATTCCTGAGTCCACAGTCACGTGAGCAGAGCAGAACTGGAAAGTCGGAATCAAACACTGCAAGATAGGCCACGAATTTTTCTTTAAATATCATTTCCTACAACAGAATTCTGCTTTAATAGTCAACCTCTTCTGCAATGTTGCATTTGTAAAGGAAATAGAGGCAAACTGGTTATGTATGGAGGCTAAATACATATAGTATGTGATTAGATTTCTGAGGAAAATATTGTTACCACTTACAAGCCACTTGCAATATACCATCTTCAGTGTGTACAGTGTGAGTATTGTTTTTATTGTAAGGCTTATGGGATACAAATGTTTGTCTCCTGGCCCCCTACCCTCAATTTGGACTGTAATAAATGCTTAAGACTGTGAAGACCGTCTAAATTTCAGTGGAGCACCTGGAGAGTCTGAGAGTAAAAGGAATAAATGTCAAAAACAACCTAATAAATTTCAGATTAGTGTCTCTAAAAATCAGTCTTTCAGAAAACTATTTGCACTGGCATGTGCTGATGCCTGTTCTCTTTCAGAATCCTATACCACAAGACCTTACAGGCATTGAATTTACATAGTAGAGTAGTCAAGTGTCTAACCTCAAAGTGGAAGCTGGTTGCACAACCTTAATTGCCTCTTGTGAACATGCACTGTAGCACAGTTATTCATAATATGACCATGTACTATCTTTGTATGCAGGACCTTTTGACTGTTTCATGAACAGACAATATTGAGTCTGTTCTTATTAGGATGTGTTACGCTGGGCTGAGTTTTCCCCATCCCAATCATGGGGCTGGGGTTGGGAATTCAGCCCAGTTGGGCTGAGTTCCTTTCCCCAGCCCGATGGTTGGGCGAAACATCAAAACAGCCTCACTGCTTCAACAAAGCAAAACACCGAAGCTGTTTCGACTCTAAATGAAATTCAATACAAAACACTGTTCCATCCAGACCTCGAAACTGAAGTCAGAATGGAACAGTGCCATTTCACACAGCCCTAGTAGACAATACTATCTTGGAGCTTACAGGCTAAACAGACAAGTCAGACACAGGATGCAATACACAAGCTGGGTAAAAAGTGTGATTTAAACTGATGTTACCAAATAGGCTTAACAAAGATTTCAGCAAATCAAATACTAATGGGTTGTAAGGGAAATTCAACTAACACATCATGGATAGTCAAATTGCTTTTATAGTTAACAGAATTAATGAATATTTTAAATAGTATCTTTTGGATGTAACCATTTTCCCTCTTCACAAATTGACCATTTCTTTAAGGAATGTGTCTATCATTCAGAATTGTTTGATGGATGCTCTGTGTGCAAATATGACTGCCTGTTGTCATCACATTGCACATCTGCTGTTTGAGCTACATGACTGTGATCATGTTGCAGCAGTAGAATTAGGTCTGGGTAAGCAGGGCCCCAACCCTGGGAACCAGTTTAGAGGGGTTGCCAGAGTTCAGTTTTTGTAATTTAATCTAAACAGCAGAGATTAAACTGAGAAACAACTAGACAGATCGTCACTTTTGATTCAGGAAATGCAGCCACACACCTGCAGTGGCTCAGGCCAGAAGAGAAGGGGCACTAGAGCACAACTCTCTGGCACATAGCCAGCATAGGATGTGTGTTCACTTCCTCTTCCTGCTGCCCCTGTTGTTGCTGCAATTTGCAATGCAAAATCACAGCAACAAGGCTCTGCGGGGTTGCTCATTATTTCCTTGTCCTGCTTCCAGGTGCCTCTGAGATTTGTAGTCCACAGTCATAGCCAGCAGTAAGTTTTTAGCAGGGCAGGGCATCTGTGTACTTGGGGGAAGGGAAGTTTTGCCTCCCTCTCTGGCCCTAGCTGGGGCTTGTCGTGGCAGAGACCCTGCCTCCCCTCCCCAAACCTTCTCTGCTGGAACAGACAGCACAGCCCAGGCCAGGGTTGGAAAGCTTGCTGGGGGGCTGTGATTTAACTTGAACCAGGAAGGGGTCTGGAACAGAAGTTTCATAAATTGGTTTGATGCAGATGAGTTGAGTTTGGTGCTACATTCAACCAGGTTTATCTTAAACCAGTTTCAGCCATTTTAAACTGGTTTATGTGCACAGAACTTTTCTTCTGTGATAGGTTTAAACCAGTTTCTGATGACTTAAAACAGGTTTGTGTAACTTCTGTCCCTATCCATAGGGAGCAGGATCAGACCTTACATGAATAACACTTTCTCAGCGCAGCTCAGCATAGTGTGATAAATGCTCAAAAATGCCTTGTGTATGTCAGAATAAAAAGTGTAAAGAAAGGCAAGTGGATGTGAAACTGTCCCTAGATAACAGAAATCATATAGAAATGATAAGCCATTGGGTCTTTTGAATTATATGACCATGGCCTCCCCCTCTACTGATATGGGGGACAATTTTGGCTTCCAGTTGAAATCTAGGCCTGTGTGACAGAAGCCTTGGCAATATAAATGAGGCCTAAGGACTCATAATCTCTTCCACCATTCTGCATACAACCCTTGTACAAATTGAGTTAGTTCTGCTTTAGGTCTGTTCCAAAGAACCATCTCACTGACTTTTCCTAAAATCTTTAAGGACACAGTAGTGCAGTAACTGACACACTGTTTGTGAAAAGAAATAGTAACACACATACACACACACACACACATGCATAATTTTCAAGTGCCTACCGAAACTGGCTCTGACCCCCATCTTTGCTGGTAAGAGTAAGATAGACAACTCCAGATAAGCTGGCCCTAGCTGCATGTCAAGGGCAGTCATTACCCTAGTACACAATAACATGGCTACGGTCATGTAAAGGTGATAATTGTTTTTAATTTCTCTTTTAGGATTATCATTTTTTGTGACTATTGAAATCTCAAGCACTCTGTGAAGTTAAGACAACTCTGCTGTGCAAAAATTAATATTTTTCTGGTTGAGTAGTTTGGCAGAAGATTTTTCTTCTGGGGCAATGTAAATAAACCTCGTGTAAACTTTGCTGCTGTTGCTTTTACCATTTTTGCTCAAGCCAACAGCCTTGAGCTTTGTGCATATTGCAAATAAACAGAGTAGGAAAAATGTCCAGAACTGTTAGTCCCCTGCCCCCTTCTCTCCTGACAAGGAATTAAATTACTCTCCTAGAGCAAAACCTTCCACAACACTTGAGATCTGGGAAGAGTGTATATATAAGCATAGTCTCCAGAAGGTCGAGTAAGGTTTATTCTACTTCCAGGTTTCAAAACCAAGCCTGAAGTAGAATAAAATATGGAGCACTGTTTCAGATTAAATCCATGCTCCTCTTGCTAGTTTTGTACTCTCTTCAGACATAAATGCCATTATTCCTCTTCAACATTCACCTTTTAGGTAGAGAATGCAGCCTCCAGTTCTCCAGCAGACAGAATATTGCAGCAGATGCTGGGTATATGAAGAAGAAGGACCCATACTTACTTGAAACCATTTGTGTTTATGGTGATTGTTATATTGGTATTAACGATCAAATTAGATAGTTAAGAAAGCCAGTGAGATCTTTGCCTAATAAAGTTCTAGCATTGGTAATCCCTCTGCAGCAAGTGCTTGTCCTGGGGTGGTCATGATGCCCCCTGGTGGCTGCTCAGCCCTTGCCAACCAGTGACTTTACTTGGGTAATC